GGGGGGGAGGGGGGGAGGGGGGGGAGAGAGAGAGAGAGAGAGAGAGAGAGAGACAGACAGAGACAGAAATCTTGCCTATAGGCATCTGTTCAAATATAGGGTTAGGTCTGAAAAACCAAATCAGCCCATTAAAACAAGGCAGTCTCCACTCAAACCAAACATGACCCAGGACAGTGGCTGTAAAACCATACAAGGGGGAAGGATTGCTTGTCTTCTGAAATTCTTTTTGCTTTAAATCTTCCTGCATTTATGTAAAAGGGCTTTAGTTTACATTTACTTACACATACATGTGCCCACATACATAAAATGAGGCCTTTTCATTTTGAATTTGGGCTTGTACATTTATTACTGTTAAATGCATGCCTTTAAAATATTAATAAATGTTCAGGCAAAATATTGAAAATCAGCAAGGTAAAAATTAAGTTCTTTTCTAAACCCTGTCGCTCCTCAGAGGTGAACATCATGAACCACCTCTTGCGCTTTTTCCCAAGACATCTCATGCATTTATATGTAAGCACATCTTTGGACATTTTTAAAAAAATACAAGCGGCATTACACTATGCATTGTTCCTCAACTGATCTCTTCTACAGGAGATTACCAAGAGCAGTCTCATTGCTTCTTAATGGCTAACAGCATTTCAATTACGGATGTTTCATATTTTAACATATTTCAAACCTTCTGCTCTAATAATGCTGCAGTACTAGTACACTTGTTATTTTCCATAAGTGACACCTTTGTTGTAGGATCTGTTTTCAGAAGTGGAAGGCAGTTCTAATTCTCGAGTCTTCTATTTTAATAGTCTATTAATAGACTATTTTAATAGCCCAAACTGCCATGTATAGAGGTTGTATCTTTTTCTAAATTCCCCCCAGGCAACATACCTCTCAACAAGCAGTCACAGCATAATACCATGGCAGTGTTTTCACTAGGCTTAGTCCAGAATACCCTCACTGGTCATTGTGCTCATACAGATGGGACTCAAATTTTGAGGTACGGTGAATGTTTTCTGATGGAAGACCCCCAACTCCAAGCTAAGTCAAGATTATCTAAACATGAGGGCTGGGGATTTAGCTCAGTGGTTCTATCGCCTGCCTTGCAAGTGCAAGGACCCGAGTTCAATCCCTGGTACACTCAAACCCCCGCAAAAAAGGTTATCTAAACTCGAATGAAGAACAATGCAGCGCCCTACACTAATGGACTGTTAGCTCTTACACGCTAGAAAGGGTTATGGTTGACTCCTGTGCAGTAGGTGTATGGTGGAGCCTCAGTCTGCACTGGGCTAGTGCGATGTAAGTGACTTTAACAGCCAGATGCTGGCTGCCAGGGGAGGAGAAGGGGAAGGCTGGAGAGGCCATGCCAGGATGTTGAGAGGAAGCAGGAAGAGACAGGCAGGTGCTGAGGAGGACAGAAACTCAGATTGGTTAGTAAGGTAGACTGGAGTCTCACTTCAGATGGTGCTGTCAATTACAGGGTTTGCAGCCGGACAAGAACTCCTGTGAGATGCCTGGGCTTTGAATAATAATTTGGAAAGCATGCAAATGTGAAAGGAAGCCCACACCAATGACATTATTCATGGCGTGCATCAATAACCAGAAGCGCTGTGTAGCGCTCTTACGGACATGCGCAGTGCCGCTTCCAAGACTTTTGGCCCTCAGAGCTCCCTCCTTTGCGGGACCCCCAGGCTCATTTGGTAACAGAACCTACGATCCTTGTGCTGTCACCCCTGATCATCTCCACAGACCCACGGAACTGTTCTGCTCCATTCCACGGTTCCCTTTCTCTTTGCTTGGGCTTTTATGCAGAAACCGCAGCTCCTCCTTCACCATCGGCTTCACTTTTCTTTTCCATTCATCCCTCTACCCCTGCCCCGCCTTCTTTCCAATAGGAACGAGTTTAATTTACTGAGAGTCAGTCCCCTACTTTCTGGTCCACTGTTCTAGATAAAAGGTGCTGAGCACTTCACTCTTCCAGCCAAAGCTCTTGGCCTCGGCCTCTCCCTTCTCTGACCCCTCTCATTCACATGGTACATCCGCTCACCTCGCCACCTCTACACCTTCCCCTGGGCCTGCACCACTACCTGATCTACGCAGCAGCCTCCTACCAGGTCTCCCTGCTTTCACCTCTGTTCCCGTCCCAACCTATCCCAGGGCATCCCCAACACCTTCGGGCTCCTGTGGTTGTGTCACTGACACTTGCTAAGAACTGCTAGGTTCTGACCTCCAGAAGAGCTGGGTCCTTCTAGAGGCTCTCAGGGCCCAGTATGACCCACTTCCTCTCCCTTGGCTTCTGACCTCACCCAGTACAGTATTTTTTCCCTCCCTCTACTCCAGCCAGGCTGCTCAACTTGCAGCTCCTTCTGCCTAAGTGCTCTTTCTCCAGATATGCACAGGACTGATCCTCACCTCCTCCAAGGTATCGGTAGGTCTCACCTACAAACACTTGTCCCCAACTCTGCTCTCTAGTCTTTCTTCATCTTCTGCCCCACACCATTCACTTGTGATGTTTACTCTTTCTCATCTGTCTCTTCCTACAGGATCTGTGTGTGTTATTTGCTGATGCATACCGATATTCTAGAATTGTGCCTGGCCAGGAGGTGCTCAATAAATATTTCTGGGATATACCAAATAACTTGTCACTTTCTGTCCTTTCCCCAGTGTAACTTCCCCTTCTCATAAAGCTTCCCCATGAACCTCCGGGAAGGTGGTTCTTGTGCCAGGGTTTAAGAGATAGGGTAATGATTTTTTAGTCTGTGCAAATGCTTTACGTGTTTTTTTATCCCTTTGCTGCACTCAATGTTCTCTAGCTGAAATTTAATTTATTTATTTGTGCTTTTCTGAGACAGGGTCTCCCTATGTAGTTCAGGCTGGTGATGAGCTCACTATGCAGCCCAGGCTGGCCTTGAATCCATGGTGAGCCCTCCACCTCAGCCTCCTGAGTGCTGGGAATATAAATGTATGCCACCACATCCGGCTTCTAGCTACA